TGGGTTGTGTATCCAGATTGTTCTCTGATGGTTAAATTCTGAACCCTGATACCCTAGTTGGTAGAGTTATATACCTGGTTTGGTAGGTTCTATAGTATGATTGGTGGGTTTTACATGTATACCCTGATGGGTAAGTTATATACCTTGATGTGCGAGTTCTGTACCCTGACAGTGGGTTCTATACAAAGGCATTAACCTGATACAGCAGGGCCTAATAAATGCAAATTGCATCATGATTTGATAGAATAATAATTTTTATATGTCTGGATAATATATTAGAAGATAAACACTTAATCAGTTAACAAACTGGTGACATATTCCAAAATTGTAGCATATTGCAAATATTTGTTGAGAAATGATTCCATGTTTTCAGTTTAGAATGAGTGCGCATAAATGAGAAAGGTTGATTTATCACATGACCAAGGTGCATATCACATGATCACAGTAGTGAAGTTTAGTGTGAAATTACACTAAATGCTGTGATATGCATACTTATAAACATCAGTAGTGTTGTGTGCTCAATCGGTACACTGAGAAAACCAAATTGTGTCCGTATGTTTATCACTGTAATACGAGAATTTCACACGAGATGACAACAATTACCGGTACTCGCATGGTGTGATGACAATAACTTATGACAACTGAAAGTTTATTTTGCAAAAAATATCACTAAAAAGGATATTTCTGTCTATATTCAAACCCATTGATGACCTAATTAGCATATGATTTTTCTGTCATTTTGACACTTAGTTGGTCATGTGATAAAATGGTTATCGCCTGATATCACTTATTTATAGAGCTTGATAATCTCCTCATTATTCATTCGTATTTCATATTCAGTGATAAACTTGTAGTTTTGTCTTTTATATGAAATGATCTGATTGTATATTCATATGATCAAGCAACATTGGTAACAATAGAACTGTTAGCTGTAGTTTTTGTTGTACGTATATGGTATCCTGGCACAGTATTCATGAAAACCATATGTTCACGATCTACATGTACCCCAACTATGCTTGATTTTTCTAAAAATAACATTTCCATGTTGTACAAATAAAGTTGTATAATCTACTGGAAATTAGTCGTGTTTCATTTGTGTGGAGTGAATGTTCCAGTGAATAGCATAGAGTAATGTACAGGAACATATTGTGCAGGTTGGCTTGGTAAAAGAGTGGTATGATAAGGCAGGGGATTAGTGTACAAATGAAAATTACATGAAATCTGTTCATATAAGTGATTGTTCATTATCTGTTTAACAAAAAATAGATTTACAACTTCTTTGAACCTAACAGTTGGACTGCCATGATATGTGGTATGTAGGTTAATGAAAAGGTGGCTTTGTTCATTTCATCAGTTTGTTTTAACAAATGATTCTGATTTTGCACATCTTTAAACATAATTATATTTCTAGTCTAGTAGTTCAAAATTGACCTTGTATATACAAATCTTTTGTAAGAGAAAATCTCAAAACATCACTCTTTCACTATAGACAAGTAGAAATTACCACATGTATTCAAATCCTGATTTTCAACCTATGATGCATTTATAGGTTAGTGAATTTTAAACTGAAATTTTATTTCAGTAATCTGAGAAATTTGTCACACTGTGACATCTTAAACTTAATAATTGACAGTTTTGTTTTCATATGGAGAAATGAAATTTAAACTAGGGCTTCTGGTAAGACATCTGTTTTCTATTGTTTCATACTCTGGAGGTGTACTCTATGATAAATGTTACTGATAAGTGCATGCTGGTCTCCTTGGGCAAGAGACATTTTATCTGCAAGATCCAGTGTTAAGCGTGATATCAAACGAAAAAATAGGACAAACCAAGTTTATTGCATATTGACATCAAAACATTTTGTGGCATTTGACAACAATATTTTGTGTGTATTTTCAAGCCATGTAATGTGCTATAAAAATTTGATGAGGTATCTGACTGCCATATTTCTTGCTGAAAGATCAGCATTTTAACATTTGAAATTCAGTTCATGCTTTTTAAGCAAGATCTCGCAGTGACATAAAAATTGCATATTGGTCTATTCCACATTGGAATAACAAATACTTTTTAATCAAAGCATTCCATTCATTAAGCTACTGTTAATGCATTAATTATTCACTGGGTGTTAATTTCACTGATAAGTAAAATCCGCTAAATTAATCTATGTGAACATGTAAAATAACAATTAAACTCATTGTTTCCTTGACAAATTTGTGAAATTAAAACGCAGTGAATATGCTCAAAACATAAAAATAGTGAAAATAAATGATTTTACAGTATTGTCTTGTAGCTGCTGAGTAATTAAATCCATGATAATCCAGAAACTATGATAACTACAAACAGTAATACAGTATTGTACTTGACTTTGATTGTGTCATCTGTGACGATATCATCAACAATGGAGTCAAGTTTTATAACAAGAGCTTGAGAAGGTGCTAAATTCAGAGACTCTAGATTAATGCGTATTCCATTAAGTTCCATTGAACTACTTATAAGTATAGTTCCCCACTCTGGTATGTCATCTACCGTGGTGTAGTCGTCTATAGAGCTTGTCGCACCAACATTCATTGTAATAAGAAAGTGATCATCCTCGGAGCGAGCATCACGTACAAATGAAAATATCTTGTCAGTAACAATGGCGTAGCGTAGTTCACCTTGTGCAAGAGCATGATATTTCTGTCTCTCTGTTGCCAACATTACATACAAGTTCAGAATAGAGAATTCATCAGCAGTTTCATTCTATTTGAAAATAAAATACACATCATATACACGTACATGTTTTATACTGGAACTAGTTTTTATGTTATACAACATTCAGTAAACAATTTAACTTTAAATGTTGTATCAAATTAGGTAATGCATTGCAGCAATACTGAAGTAGAACATATTTACAGTTCAATCTGTGGCTAAACCCACAGAGGCCAAGTTGGCCTTTCTCTGACATGGCTAAACCCACAGAGACCAATTTGGCCTTTTCCTGACCTGGCTAAAGCCACAGAGGCCAAGTTGGCCTTTCTCTGACATGGCTAAACCCACAGAAGCTGAGTTGCCCTTTCCCTGACATGGCTAAACCCACAGAGGCCAAGTTGGTCTTTCTCTGACATGGTTAAACCCACAGAGGCCAAGTTGGCCTTTCTCTGACATGGCTAAACCCACAGAAGCTGAGTTGCCCTTTCCCTGACATGGCTAAACCCACAGAGGCCAAGTTGGCCTTTCCCTGACATGGCCAAACCCACAGACGCTGAGTTGCCCTTTCCCTGACATGGCTAAACCCACAGAGGCCATGTTGGCCTTTCTCTGACATGGCTAAACCCACAGAGGCCAAGTTGGCCTTTCTCTGACATGGCTAAACCCACAGAAGCTGAGTTGCCCTTTCCCTG